TTCCACCTTTGCAAAATCTTTCACATTTTGTCCACATTAAAAGGTCCTCTCCTAAGTGTAGGGTGGAATTCCACAAGAATGTACCTGCTACTAAAGGATCTCTTGTCATGTAAATCTGCTGTGTACAAAACACATTTGTACCACCCAGGACCTTAGAACATGTAATCTCCAAGCAGATGTTTTCCGTGGCTGCAAAACAGTATCAAATTGGCCAGACAGTATCAAACACGCCACTGTCTGGCCAATTTGATACTGTCTGGCCAATTTGATACTGTCTGGCCAATTTGATACTGTTTTGCAGCCACCGAAACATCTGCTTGGAGATTAAGTACATGTACCATGTCACAAGTACCAGTTCCATTTGTGTTGGGGTAATGTGTAGGTTCAGTAGCCAAGTCATAATAGAATCTGTCTCAGTCTTAGTGTATTGTGTGAGTCTTTTTAATACTTTATAATAGTAACTAGTACATGTAGTTCAAATTTCTAACTCTTCTTCTAATGTTGACAGTTGAGATCAAGCCTTAAATACTGAGACTACCCTATATATGCTATAGAAGGCTGAGGAGTAGAAAAAAGGTACTACAGTAGCACTCAAGAGATGTACAAAAACACACCAAAAACATGGGTAAAACACATAAAAACATTTGAAATTCGTAAAACACTGACACCAAGCTGAATCCTACATCTGCTTGGAGATGAATTATAGGAAGGTTTTGAAGGTTTGTTGACTGTGGTCTGACAGTGAAACACTTTTGAATTTTTCTCTCTGAGTTGGTACTAGGAATATTTTTTTGTAATCATTGATTCGAATCAGAGGGAAACAACATTTCAACTAAAATGCTTTAGCTCTCTATTAGGACTTTCTATAGCTTGGCAGCTGAGGAGAAATCTTGTTCATTTCCTTCCTTCCTGTCCCCAGGGCCTTAAACCTTAATTAGCTGTTAGAGTTTGTGTTGCAGAAGTACTAATTGCCCCCACTGAGGCATGGCAGGAAAAACAAGGTCTGCTGGGGCTAGAAAAATACGAGGTGTGCTGGTGATCATCTGTTCAGGAAATGTTATTGTCAATTCATTTATTTAAGCACAGATTTTTGAGTGGATCAAACCTTACAGTCTTGCCGTATGCAGCTTGTACTGTACTTCTGCAAAACTGTCTGTTGGTTTCTGTCTCATAAAATATACAAGTATAAGCTATTTAGTACAAAAGGGAATACAGAGAAATTTAGTAACCTGTGAGGGCTCAAAATGCTTTTTTTCTGCACACCTGCACTGTTAAGAAAGCATTGCCATTATTTCTTTTATATAGACATCTATGTAAAAGTCAATGCAGATTAAGAAAATAAAAATCCACAGACAACCACATTGTATTAAAGTTAGTAGATGCCATACTCTGTACACTGTTCCAGTGTTGCACAATAAAGTTATTATTATTAAATATTATATAAACCCAGTAACGTACATGAACCAGTACAGGTTATGTGCAGGTAGACGTAATACCATGCACAGCTCCAATTTTACCTGCACTTAAACCAACAAATGCAGGTCACAGCAGGTGGCATTTCGAGCCCTGCTAACCCAGTTTAGAAAGACCCCTGATGATTCTATTCTCGTCCCCCTTTTCAGAGCAAAGCTCAGGAATACAAATGGAACAACCGGATGTAGCACAACATGCTACAAAAGATGTGTGAAAGTTATTTCCACTCGCTCTTTCAAAACACCCGGCAGAATGTCCTGCCTTGCGTGTTTTTGGAGCCCCTTTTCTTGACAGTTGTTTTGACGGCCACCTGCTGCCTTTGTTCCAAACGTTGTGCTTTGCCTCCTTTCCTAAGTCCCTCATGTTGAACCACTTAGTCCCACCGCAAAGTTTTCTTTTCCTCATTGTGCCTGCGGTGTTTTTTCAAACAACGTGAGCCAGTCATTGTCATAACCCGAAACAACAACAACAACAAGTCCCACTTTTTACAACAAAGATGAATCCTTTTCCACATTCAGTCTTTCTGCCAACTGCAAGAATTGAATAGGACACGTCAGTTACAGAAGTACTTACATTAGTTTCAACGTGCCAGACCTGCATTAGTTGTTTAGAAAAAGCAACGTTGGCGCCAGCCATACTGTAGTAAACATGTCGTCCTTTGTATAGAAAACAGTGGTAGGATATTGAATCTGTCAACACCCTTTTTTCCCCATTAGTTTATGTTTGTTAATGTACAATAAGTTGTTATTAAGCCATTTTTCAGGACCACCGTGCTGTTAGGAGCTAAACTGAAATGGAAATGTGTTTTAAACATTCAACGAGAGATGCACAACGAAAGAAGTTGATATGTTTATGTAATAATAGATAAATCTTGTAATGTTGTTTTTAATAGCTGTTCACAAACATTATGTGTCATAAAATTGACGAGCTCATAAATGAAAATTGAACTAGAGTTCCCCGATCTCATACCTTCGCCAAATGATGTTAATCTTTATGACTGACAAATTATAGATTAGATTATTCCCCCCTGATTTAAGAAATAGGAACCTAATTTTCATGAATTATATCATTTTATCATAATCTCAACCAGAAAAACAGTCTTATATTAACAAACAATGCATTCTAGCATTTCCTAATAAATTATGCAAATGAGGTCCTGATTAAAATAAATTATGTTTAATGATGTTCACCTCAACTAAACCTTCAAATACCACAAGTATGAAATTCCAGGCAGTTATCATTACATAATTATAAAACTTTCTCATTAATTATGCAAATTAAGTCATTATTAACATAATCAATATCTTCCTGTGTTTCTCTCGTTGTCAATTACCATTGTCACAAGCTTCAATTGTCCTATCATGGAATGCAGCTGATTTATAGAATTTCCCCATAAATTATGTAAATTACATCCATATTTGCATAATTGTCACATAATTATATTAAACATCACGTAAGCTACCTACATACCAAAAATCACGACGATCCGTCAAACGGTTCTTGAGTTATCCCCTTTCGAATAATTTCAAGAATATATCCCTGCAGTTCCAAAGCAAGCCGCTAGGGGGCCCAAACTCACGTCACTTCTTCCCCAGCACGAGAGCTACCTACCATGCAAATTTCATCACCATAGCATGTCTAGATCATGAGATATCAAAACCGGAAGTTCAGCTGCAGTACCATAACAAGCCGCTAGGGGCCCCAAAATCTAATCATTTTGAGGTCTCATCAAGACCTACCCACGTACCAAATATCAAGATAATCCATCTAAGCTTTCTAGAGTTATGCTGTTGACAGACACACACACACACACACACATACACGAACGCCCCTGAAAACATAACCTTCTTGGCGAAGGTAATAAGTTCTCAGGAGCAAACTAAACTGCCTTGTTTCATGTGGGAGGTCACTATTCTCCAAGCAGAGGTTGGTGGGAAAGGTTGTTGCCTTTCTATAGTATATAATATTGCCTGTTTTTTTGTGTGTGGGGTTAGTGATAGAAAAAAATGGGCATATATAGAAAGGTAAGAATCTTCCCCACCAACCTCTGCCTGGAGAGTAAGAGGTCACACGCTTTCTTAAAGTGACTTCCTAGATGTAGTCTATAATAGTTTAACATATAGTAGTTTAATGTGTACCTAAGTTAAATAAATTAAAAATAAAGTTAGAAAGTTAGATTAGAACGTAGCATGGTTTTATGCCATTCCTCGATACATTCTGTACTCATTGTCAATTCTTGGCAATGTCTGTTTGCAATTAGCCTTTGAGCACTTGCAATAAAGCTATTATATTTTGTTCTATTCCTTAAAATTATCTCTTTTCTTCCCCCAGCTCCTAGCCCAACTAGTCCTATCCGGTACATTGCCTCCAAATGTGTGGATCGCGGACACCACAAGTCAAAATGGTTCGTCCCGTGGGGACCAAAGGACCAGGTAAGGACAAGTTTCACTCATGCTGGTTTGACTTTGACTTTATTTGGATCCACAATTTTACTTTTTGCTTTTCCATCAGGCTGGCTACTAGTCTGAATTTTCAGGGCTCAGAATAATGGGTGTACATGTACTTTTGTGCTCTCAAAATTGGACTCTGCAGCTAAGTTTGGACTGTGGGTTCAGCTAAGTTTGGACTGTGGGTCCACCTAGAGGTATTTGTGTTGGGTTATATACATAAGGTACTGTTGTACATATCCCCTGAAAACAATACATGTACTTCCATACCTGAAAGTGTATAATAATAAGTTTAAATCTGCAACGTCTATCTACTCCAGGTGTGTGAGAAGGTTGCAGATTTTGACGAGGCAACAGCGAAGCAGGTTTCTGCGAACGACATCGTGTTCGCCGCCCACATCCCGCTGCCGAACCGCGAGATGGTGCGCTGGTTCCAGTTCCTCCTCATGATCATGGAGCTCGACGTCGCCTTCAAACTGCACAACCCCGTAGGTAAGAGGGCACGAACTTTCAACTTTAACCTGTAAACCTGTAGGTCATGAACTTTGAACCTGCAGGAGTTCCAACAACACAACCCAGGTAGTGAGAGGACATGAACTTTAACCTGCAGGCCATGAACTTTGAACCTGCAGTAGTTCAAACTGCACAACTTTCAACTTTGACCTGTAGGTCATGACCTCTGATCCTGCAGGAGTTAATTCACGAGTTGCACATTCCCAGGATCCTTTGCGCCCAGGGTAGGTCACGTGGGCGCACAGGGTAGGGAAAGGTCGCGGTAAACCACGTGACTCATCCTCGGCTCTGGTCGGAAGAAGTCGGAAGTGTTCGCGAGCGCTCGGAAATTTCAAAAATGGCTGACACCACTGCCGGCGGCGGGAGGTACGTAGTTTTTCACGGCGTTCGTACGGCAAAGCGGCATCGAATTTTTGCTCCATGACTATCGGTATGGGATAGGATAGGGTTGATTCAACACACTACGTGAAAATGTGAATGCTCCCAGCCTACTATCGGCCAGATATCGCTTAGGGCACCTTCTTCCGACCAGAGCCGAGGATGAGTCACGTGGTTTACCGAGATCTTTCCCTACCCTGACGCCCACGTGACCTACCCTGGGCGCAAAGGATCCTGGGAATGTGCAACTCGTGAATTGCACAACCCCGGTAGGTCAAATTGATTTTCAGGGGTTCAAACCATGCAATTCTGTAGCTGAGCAGGTCATGAACTTTGATCTATAAGTAGTTCACACTGCATGACCTGTATAGGTGAGAGGGCACGAACTTTAACCTGCATTATAACTTTAAACTTTTTTAAAATCCTGCAAGAGTTCAACTAACACATCCCTGTAGATGAGCAAAACTGCAAGAGTTCAAATTGTGCACAACCCCCACAGGTGAGCAGGTCATGACCTCTGATCCTTAGATTGTTAAGTAGTTTGCAGTTCCTATTCAGATTTTCAAAACAAAAGATGACATGTTTGTTTGTTTGTTTGTTTATGCAGCTGAAAATGCGGTGGTTACCATGGAAGCTGGCCTGGCGTATCGTGATGACAAGTTTGCAGAGTGGACGCCCATCGCCAGGTCTACTGAGGAGAGGAAACTGGTCTGTAACTTCAGCCACACAAAGGTACAGGTCTTAGTTTTACATGTAGTCTTTGACTCATCCAGGGGGTCAGGGCTCTAGCCAGCACCAGTCTTTCTGTCAATTACTGGAACTTTGCGGCGTGTGTCAGAATTTTTTTCAGCCATTCCATCAACCCTGACAGACAAAATGATTTTGATGAATGGGAAATTGTATTTTCGAAGGCTTGAAAATCCAAACATTCCCGGGGGAGCATGCCCCCAGACACCCCAAAGATTGCGAGCGCTCCCCTTGCCAAATCCAATGATGAACCTGGCCTGAAGGATAAAAAAATTCAAGCTGGTTAGAGCCCTGGGGAGGGTCAGTTTTTACCAGTGCTCGATGCTTTGCAGAATTTCACCTTTTTTCACAGAGTATGCAGGGGTTAGGTTTTGATTAAAGTCTCAAAGTTTATCAAAGATTAGGCAGAGAAGGCCAACTTTCCTTAACCAAGTAATTTTTTTTCGTTTTTTTCTGCAGACGGCAGATAACGAGGGCCGTTACTACGACTGTGACATGATTCCACTGTTTGAGCTCGGGAGCTGTTATCACAAGTACTACCTCATCAACGTGAGACTTCCGGTCAGAGAGAAGCAGAACATCAACCTCAACATCGGAGATATCAAGGATGTCAACCTCATAGTAAGTGACTAGTTGTTACTAGGGGTTAAAAAAAGGTCCTGTTCCACTCTATTGCAGAGCATAAAGGTGGCACCCATATCCATTTCCGTAGCCCTTGGGCCACACAGTTGTGTATTCACTACAACAGCAGGGGGATAGTCCACTGGTAGTGGTGTCTGTTGATCTTCCCATACTCTTTCTCAAATGCTGAGTGATAAGCAGAGAAAGCAGTATGTACCATTTTTAAATATGACCCGACGGTTGAGCACTCTACCAATTGAGCTATTGCACCAGTTTTGCAACATTTGGGAGGTAAAGGAAAGGAATCCATCTCTGTAAGTATTCTAAGGACAAACAAAGTTGCTTTAAATTGGATGATATCTCTTGAAGACCTCAAATTTGACATGAGACTGCAAAGTTATGTCATCTGATCATTAAGATGTATTGATGATTAGTTTCATTTCAATTCATGTATGTAACTTCAATCCTTTTTTTGCAGGGGATTCACCAGAACGGAGGTTTCACGAAAGTGTGGCTGTCCGTCAAGACGACTCTTACCCCAACCATCATCATCATCCTAGTCTGGTACTGGAGAAGAGTTACTCAGCTCAACCGCAAACCTGTCCTGCTGGAGAAGTAAGAGCCAACCTGTTTAAAGTTTAAACCTTTTGATCCAACACAAAAAAATTCTCTCACCTAGAACTTTCGACCAGTCACTCGTCACCAGTCTTCCTCAGTAGACTGACCCAGTAAGGCTTGTCACGTGGCTTCTTTGAAGTGTGACGTCAACACTGGGTCAAAGGTAGACGATGTCGGCCCCAGTCGCGGTTCAATGAAGGGTAATGTGCCCTGATGTATATGGCTTCCTTCACCCCTCTCAAGAAGACCAAAGTGACTGGTCGAAAGCTCTAGGTGAGAGAATATTTTGTGTTGGACCAAAACTTTTAACTTTAAACATGTAACTACCAACACAGATGAACTTTCATGATAGTAAGAGCCAACCTGATTGGTTTATTGGTGGAAGGGTGACTGTTTCCAGCCAATAAGAATTTGTGATAGGAATGAGTTGAAATCTGATTGGTACATGCTAGTCCAGTATTGGAAAAGGGTTGCTCAACTGAACTGCAAACCTTTGCTGCTAGAGAAGTAAGCTGCAAGCTGATTGGTTCAGTGGTGGAATGGTGCATGTTTGCAGCCAATAGGAATTTGTGATAGGAATGAGCTGAAATCTAGTCTGGTACTGGAGAAGGGTTACTCAGCTCAACCGCAAACCTGTGCTGCTGGAGAAGTAAGAGACAACGCCGTTGGTTCATTGGTAGAAGGGTGCATGTTTTCAGCCAGTAGGAATTTGTGATAGGAATTAGCTGAAATCTGATAGGTATATGCTAGTCTGGTATTGGAACTCAACCGCAAACCTGTCCTGCTGGAGAAGTAAGCTGCAAGCTCATTGGTTCAATGGTGAATGATGGCATGTTTCCAGCCAATAGGAAGTTGTGATAGGAATGAGTTAAAATTGATTGCTACATGCTAGTCTGGTATTGGAAGAGGGTTACCAAGCTCAACCGCAAACCTGTGCTGCTGGAGAAGTAAGCCAATTTTTCTCGCCAGGCCCTCTGAGTGTTGGGGCCCCCTATGCTGTGATTGACGCCCTATGCTCTGATTTGGACCCCCTGTGCTCTGATTTGGACCCCTATGCTGTCTTTTAACCAAATATAACTTTAGATTGAAGCTATAGCAAAGGGAAAACCTTACCTGCACAAAATCTGTCCCTCAATAAGTAAGAAATAGTGTCTCAGGGGGTTATGAGTTCTAAAATTTTTCGGGAAGAATTCCAGATCCCCAACTGTAGTCATATATTTGGGACTTGGTAGTCATATTTTTGCGCTGCAAAAGTTGCCCTTCAATACCTAACCCCTATGCTGTGAAAAAAATCCAGGGTAAAGCTGCAACCTGATTGGTTCAGTTGTGGAAGCCACTAGTTCATCAATTCAAAATGATCTGTTTGATAACAAGATGTTGTCGTGAAACACTTATGGTATCATTGTACACACTGGAAAAGCCAGGTCCTAAAATTCTGTACCAGACTTTTTGGTTGGTTCACATTTTGTTATTTCTATTCCAGAACCATCTTTGCACTGGGGTTGTCCATGGCTTTCATTAACTGTAAGTATGATAACTGCAACCTCTTCAGCAAGTTATAACATTTTTGTGTCTTGTTTCTAATTTCTAGATCACCTTTATGCAACATAGTAGATCTAACATTTACAAAGAATTGTCATGATGGTAAATGGAGCACACCTTTCTTTTTTTTTCTGAGTGTGAGAAAATTACGCTTTATGACAAGCCCCTTTTCCCTCAGTCTATGTGGAAAGAATGGTTTCTAATGTGATATTGTTCTTGTCACTCTTCCCACTCCAGTACCCCTTGAGCTGATCACCATTGCAGTGGATGTTCCGTGGATGCTGTTGCTAAGTGATATACGACAGGGCATCTTCTACTGCATGCTGCTGTCCTTCTGGATCATCTTCACTGGGGAGCATCTTATGGTAGGTTTGTAGATAACAACATATGTAGGGCTCGAAATGCAACCTGCATATCCAGGTTAGTGCAAGTAAAATTGGAGCTGTGTAGGTACTGTATTTCTGATGTCTGTCTGCTCCTAACCTGCACTGGTTCGTGTACTGGGTATATCAGTTTTACATTGTTAACTGTATTTGTTGGATTACCGGCCAAAAATGAAAAAAAAAAGAAACTGCCTTCCAATTGTAATTTATGAGGATTTTAACCAGAAACATTGTTTTCTTAGCCCTCTATAACTATTAAGTACTATATCTACAGTGTCTACTGGTCTACTGCAACCATTTTCTTCAGTGGGTCATCTCGACCGTATTTTAACCCCGTCAGTGAGTCAATGACCTGGACCAGACAGCTGTCACCATGGTAACTGGCACTGTAGCAGATACCCTGTGGTATTTGGTTACATTATGTAGCAAGCGGCAGAGTTGGAGGGGCTGGTCACCTTAGGTATGAATATGTTTGAGTAATAAGCAGTAGTTTGTTAGGCTAGGCCATGTGAAGGTAAACATGATATGTATGTTGCGTTGCGAAAGGTTACCTTTCTTGTTAAACGCCATCTTGTTTCCCACCCCAGGACCAGTCAGAGAGGAACCGCCTGTCCGTGTACTGGCGCCAGGTGGGAGCCATCACCTTCGGCTGCCTCTGTATGTTCATCTTCGACATGTGTGAGAGGTGGGTATGTAGGTCTGTACCTCCTCTGTATGTTCATCTTCGACATGTGTGAGAGGTCAGTGGATTTTTCACCTTTTTATTCTTCATATTCAGAGAGAGAGATATTGTTTACAAAAAGGAAACCTGCCTACCTACCTACCTAGTCCTATGACTGACACTGGTCGTCGGGGGGACAAGGCAGACCTTCCAGCAAAGGTGTAGCCAGGTCTTCCTGTCTTGGGCTGGTGTCAGGAGTTGTGGGACAGTGAGGGACGTCCAGTCCTTGATGTTGTCCTGCCAGACCACATGAAGCTATGAATAGGAATCAGGCCCAAGGAATGTGATTCTTACATTAAACATTCCTATTGCCCTAAAACCACGACCAATACTGGCCACTATCGTTTGGTGACGTAAGATCAAATGGCTCTCCCAAACATAATTGATTCCACCCTTACTCTGTTCTCTAAGTTCTGCTTAAGAGCTGTGCCATTCAGTTTATAGGGGTGTGCAGCTGATCAATCCATTCTACATCATTTTGTTGACAAAGAATGAAACCTAGCCAGCTCAGATACAGAGATACTGTACAGTACCCCCAACTTTAGTGGTCTTACCCAATACCACAATATGTAAGATGTGTCTGACGGCTATACCATTCTGTTCCCAGGGGTGTGCAGCTTACCAAACCATTTTACATCACCTGGTTGACAGAAACTCAGATACAGAGATAATTAACAGCACCCCTAAACTTCAGTGGTCTCACCCAATACCACAACATGAAAGATGTGTCTGACGGCAGTACGATTCTGTTCACAGGGGTGTTCAGCTTACCAAACCATTTTACATCATCTGGATGACAGAAAAAGAATCCAAACCAACTCAGATACAGGGATAATTAACTGTACCCCCAACTTTAGTGGTCTCACCCAATACCACAAGATGAAAGATGTGTCTGACGGCTGTTCCATTCTGTTCACAGGGGTGTGCAGCTGACGAACCCGTTCTACAGCATCTGGGTGACGGAGACGGGGAAGAACTTGGCCTTGGCCTTCATCATCCTGGCGGGCGTCTGTGCCAGCGTCTACTTCTTCTTCCTGTGCTTCATGGTGTTCAAAGTCTTCCGTAACATCAGCGGCAAACGGGCTTCCCTCCCCACCATGTCTGACGCCAGGCGTCTGCACTATGAGGTGAGCGTTATGTTTCTGTTGTAAAAGGTGGTGTTGTTGATAGAGTCTAGTCTAAGGGTTCAGGGTTCGAATCCCTAGCAGGCCTCGCTGTTGTGCCCTTAACTTGGGAAAGGCATTTATTTTAAAACTGGACTCAAAGATATATCTCAAAAGGAGGTAGGGTGGTGTTGTGGATATGGTCTCTGTCTCAGAATCTAAGGGTTATGGGTTCGAATCCCTAGCACTGGCAGCAGCCCTAATGTTGTGCACTTGGTATAGGTGAACGATACATATTTGATGCAGAGGGTGGTGTAAGCAGTTGTGGTTAGGGTTGTTGACTCAGAATCTAAGGGTTATGGGTTCGAATCCCTAGCACTGGCAGCAGCCCGAATGTTGTGCACTTGGTATAGGTGAACGATACATACATGTACTAGTATCTAATGCAGAGGGTGGTGTTGTGGTTAGGGTTGTTGACTTAGAACCAAACGGGCTTCGCTCCCCACCATGTCTGAATCCAGGCGCCTGCACTATGAGGTGAACATTACGTTTCTGTTGCAGAAGGCTGAAGGTAGTGTTGTGGTTAGGGTTGTTGACTCAGAATCTAAGGGTTATGGGTTCCAATCCCTAAGTTCAACAGGCCCCCATGTTAAAGCCTTGGGAAAGACACTTAACAGCTATTTCCCCATTCAACTCGGATGGAAATTAGTACCTAGCTTTGTTTGTCAAAAGGTCTTAATAAGTGGTAAGGTGGTGTTGTGGTTAGGATTGTTGACTCAGAACCTAAAGGTTCAGGGTTCGAATCCCTAGCAGGCTTTGGTGTTGTGCCCTTAATGTTGGAAAGGCATTTATTTTAAAACTCGACTCAAAGATATATCTCAAAAGGAGGTAGGGTGGTGTTGTGGATATGGTCTCTGACTTGGAATCTAAGGGTTCTGAGTTCGAATCCCTAGCACTGGCAGCAAGCCCTAATGTTGTGCACCTTTGTTTTACAGTCACACGTTTTACAGTAAGGTGTTTTGTGTTGTTTTTCAGGGTCTGATCTACCGGTTCAAGTTCCTGATGCTGTTCACTCTCCTGTGTGCTGCCACGACTGTCATCTTCTTCATCATCAGCCAGGTAGGAACAGTGTGTACTTGCGGACTTAGTTTGTATCCTAGTTACAAAGTATGCAGCATTGACCAAACAAGAACAAATACCGTAAGAACACAAAGGGGTTTTCTTTCACGGCAGGAGGAAAATTTTCGTGAGTTTCATGAGTTTTAAGTCTGCATTTGATACAATTTTGCAGCACAGTAGAACTATTAAGGTTCAAGAACTATTAAACACTGTGTTAAGATTTCACAGTGAGAGGTCACCATGAAAAACCACCACAAAAGCTTCTGCATTTTACAGTATGAAACCACAGTGTCTGGTAGGATACAGCCTACGATCTCTCCCCCCAACTCAGGAAGACCACAAACACTGGAGTGAAACACCTCCATTTTATTCCCTTCCTCACCTATAGTACATTTTGAAATCCCTGCCTAATGTAAGGTACATTTGAAGTCCCTGCCTACTGTCAGTTCTACCCTCTTCCAGCGTCTTCTCTCTCTCTACTAGTCCCTATATGACTACTAGTTTTTTTTATACAATTATATGTAACTTATGTTTTAGATATGTTTTCCATGTGTATATATATATATAAGTATATATGGTAAGTACATGATTGTATGCAATTTAACTCACTAATTCAAAAGCTATTGAAGGAATGTCATGTAAAACTATTCCTACAATTTCACACTGTAACTAGATTTAACTTTCAGCACAGTACATCCTTTAACAGTGAATTCTAATAAATACAATGCATTAAACAGTATACACCGTAATTGATTAAACTTGCTATCACCCCAACATGTGGTGTTAAGTTTACTGAAAGCTATAAAAATCACAGAATATTTCCGATTAATTCCCACAGTCAGAGATATATTTGATTTACAAGAAAAGGATCCATTTTGAAGTAAAATGTTGGTCAGTTTCATACAGTAGACTATAACCGTTGGCCAGGCTTCCAGGTTCTAGTTCTGTTTTCGCATAAATGATGTCTCTATCATCATATTAACTATATATATATAATATATAATGTTTAGTACGATTCCACACAATCTTTCATATATCAGTTTAGTTCCTACAGGTCAAAGATCCTACATTATGTCTGTCCTTGTAACACCTTTCCTTGAGACCAGGTACTATTTTTGTGGCCCTTTTAAAACCTTTCTGTCCCTACTTCCTATGTCTACATTTGGTGCTGCATATAACATAAGTAATAACATAAGACATAGTACAGTGTATATATTGTAAGTATACAAGTTAGATCACTAATTCAAAAGCTATTGAAGTTAACAATTTCATTTGAAACTATATGTACAATGTTACAGTCCAATTGTAACTAGAATTTGATTCCAGTAAAGTATACCTTTAACAGTGAACTGTATACAATGTATTAAAATGTATCATAGTAATTAACCAAGTCCTGCCAGCTTAATATTTGGTGTATGAGAAAGCTATAATATACAGGATATTTCTTAATTGCGCACCACAGTTTATAACATTTTTGCTTTTGTTGATATACATATGATAAAAGATATACAGTGTATTTGATTTACAAAAAGAGGATGCATATTTATCAGTTTTACATGTATAGAGTAGACTTAAACCTTCAACCATAAAGTTACTTAGTACCATAACTATATAATATATATTAGGTCTCCACAAAATCCTCAATATACTACTTTTCTCTGAGCCCAGGTCATCTTTTTGTGGCCCTTTCTTTAAATCCTTTCTATCTCTACTACCTACTAGTATGTCTACATTGTGTGGTAACTATATCAGTGCACCTTACTGTAGATGTGTCTAGTATGTTACAGATTTACATACAAGCACTAAAACCTCTTCATCCACAAATTTACTCAAAAGTCAAACCTGCAATCTGGTTAATGTTTTTCTGGCCATAGGTGTCAGGACTCTAGGGTTTTTAGGGAGTGAGTATGGGAGCCCCGGCATACAAGTAGGATGGCACCCAAGACTCTACTCAGGGCCAACCATTGTTTTTAGAGAGTAATTCTTCAAAGCAACTGCTATTTGTTGTTAAATCTATCAATCAATCTACTGGCATTGTAAACCACGAGGCAGCAGGGATGTGTTTGCAGTGTTCGAAATACCTGTCTGCAGTCTGCAATCTGCAGATAGATTTTCAAGATTGCAGAAGAAAAATTTATACAATCTGCAATTTTGCAGCAGGAAAAATTGGCACTTGGGATTTGGCGCTCTTGGCCCCAAGGACAGACAACACTTAAGCTCCTGTTTTGAAACAAAAGGAGCTTCTTCACTAATTTGCATCAAGCTTGTCTTGACTTGTCTATCTTTTGTTTCTTTTTGGACTTCCAAAAATTTGTTTTCACTAATTTGCATATCAATCAATAGTTCATGCTTGTAAACCTGCAAGATTGTAGTATGGAGGCTTGTGTATTTGCAGAAAGTATTTCCAAATTGCAGAACAAAATTTTGACTCTTCTGCAATATTGCAGAGCACTGAAAAAAAGTATTTCGACCACTGGTATGTGTGCTGCTGCTGACTGCTGGGGTTCCTCAGGGGTTCATAGTGGTGAGGGCTGTCAGCACCAGGGGCAGCTGCTGTCTGTGATTGGTTATCAACTAACTCTTCATCATTCTCATACACTATGACCTGTAGAGCTTCATTTGTAGATTCTATGTCTTATTAATCATTCTCATAGCTATACACCACATCCTGTGGACCAGCTGCAGCACCTTTAGCAGCTGCTGCCATGTGGCTGTTCACATATTTGTGGGACTGTGGACCTTCTCCAGGGTACAGGGAGGGAGATGGAACCTCATAACCATCGTTAAAGCTGCCGACATGCTGAATTTGCCCTGGGCCTGGCTGTGATGTTTTTGACGGACTAACCATTGTTCGAGCAGCTGCATCTGCTGATTCAACCTGGGCAGCAGTCTGGTGGCCAGTCTGATTTTTAGGGGGAAGGGAAGGGGTCAAATTCAGATAACCAAAGCTGTCAACACTCAGGCTGTTACCTGCATCTTGGTGTGGACTTTCTGACTGATCAATATCGTCTATGGTGTTGTACTCGGCTGTGTCAGGGTCCTCATCTGTTGGGAGGTTATAGATATGCTGGCTGTCTTGTCTATTGAGATGTGGTGTTCTAGACTGACTGTTTATTTCAGAATCTGCATTTGTTGTAACTTTATTCAGACTTATCTGGTCATGACCACTGGATGTGCCTGTGGGATTTGTGTTGCTAAAGCCTTGCTGAGGAGGATCCCTTTGCCTCCTCTTATACATGCACCATACTGCAAAGCCGATAATGCAAATAATGGATAGTCCAAGAATAACTCCCAAAGAAGCAAGCAAGGGCACAGAGAGCACAATGCCACCACTACCAGGGCCAGTATTGCTCTCAGTTAGACTAAGTGTTAATGTCACAGTCGAAGCAAAAGGAGGGTCAGTAGAGTCAATGATGTGTTTAGCGCTAGAAGTGGAGTAGACTGGTGTCGTCTCTTCACAGATCGGGTCTTCAGGATTTAACGTTACATCCCGTAAGAGTTGCCCTTGAAGGTTAGCAGGTCCGGCACATCTGATCTGGTCTTCAAATGGGTAAGACCCGTTCATCCTCTGCTTAAAGGGAGCTATCCTACAGTCACACTGCCAGGGGTTGTTGTCAATGTTTACATCAGAAATGGAGGTCAGTATGTCATATGCCATGACTGGTAGGGTCTCTAATTGGTTATTATCTAATGTAAGCTCTGACAGTGCTGAAATCTGTAAATTTGATAAGGCCTCTACAGGGAAAGTGCTGATGTTGTTATGAGAAAGTTTCAGTGTTTGAAGCTGAAGTAGGTTTCCAAATGTGTCGGCTGTGATGGTGCTGATGTTGTTGTGCTGAAGCTCTAGATGACGTAGCTTTGTTGTGCCATTGAAGGTGCCTGCCTCGATATAGTGGATGTCATTGCTGTCAAGTTTAAGCCTCCCTAAATTACCAAGTTCCACAAATATGTCAGCTGACAGACTAGTTAACTGGTTAGAGGAAAGAGTCAAGGTCTGCAAATTTCCAAGTCCCTCAAATATGCCAGCTGGCAGACTAGTTAACTGGTTATTGCTAAGAAGCAAGTTATGCAGATTTCCAAGTCCCTCAAATATGTCAGCTGGCAGGCTAGTTAATTCGTTATTGTAAAGATACAAGCGCTGCAGATTACCAAGTCCCACAAATATGTCAGCTGACAGACTAGTTAACTGGTTATAGTTAAGAGACAACCACTGCAGATTACCAAGTCCCATAAACATGCCAGCTGTCAGACTAGTTAACTTGTTCTTGTAAAGATGTAAGTTCTGCAGATTACCAAGTCCCACAAATATGTCAGCCGTGATGGTGCTGATGTTGTTGTACTCAAGCTCTAGATGAAGTAGCTTTGTAGTGTGATTGAAGGTTCCTGCCTCAATACTGTGGATGTTATTTCTGTCAAGGCGAAGCCTCTCTAAATTACCAAGGCCCTCAAATATGTCAGCTGGCAAACTTGTTAACCGATTATCATGAAGATACAAGCCCTGTAGATAACCAAGTTCCTCAAAAAAATGAGCTGGCAGACTACTGAACTGGTTATCATGAAGATACAAGTTCTGTAGATAACCAAATCCTGCAAATATGTTAGCTGGCAGACTAGTGAACTGGTAATTGGAAAGCCACAAGTCCCACAGATTTCCAAGTCCCACAAACATGCCGGCTGTTAGATTGGTTAAACGATTACCACGAAGGTTCAGGTAAGTTAGGCTGGTTAAGTCTTGGAATGTGTTGTTATGGATCATGGAGATCTGATTGTATTGAAGATTTAATTTTGTCAAGTTCCTATACCTTGAGAAATCAGACTGGCGTAAGGTTCTGATGGCATTGCTGTACAACTCAAGCCGATTGATGTCTGTAGGCAGGTACTGAGGAACACTGGTGAGGCCTCTGTTGTTGCAGTAACACCATGATGAACAGCTGCTGCTGCAGGCTGCGGTCGGGCCAGCTTCCTTCAGGATGATCAGCAGAAGAACCAGCATCCTCCTCCCTTTGTTGGACATGCTGAAGTGTCGCCTGTACAACAGAGATGAGATGCAACATGAAAGTTCAGCTGTGTTGGCAGATTTGGAAAAAAGTGATACATTAACTGTGAATATCCCAATGGGATCAGTCAGTATGTGGCCTTTACTGGCCTGAACCAACTTTCTCTGACCCCAAATTTTGAAACATTCTCATTTTCGTCAGTGTTTTATTCAGGAAATACTAGTAGTTTCAGTTCACAGTTTTATGTTTGCAGTGTGCCACAATGTCATCACACCACCACATACATTGTGCACCACCTACACCCCCACCCCCTTAATGAATATTAAATCCCCTTGAATTTTGCAGTACTGTGTCTGTGCTGCCCTTCAATTGTAACAACTTACAAGACCTGTATTATCACATTTTCTGCAAACTAGGTCCTGAACTGCATAATCACTCTCCACCACAGCTTGAATGCCTATAATCATAAAAATACAGTCTTATTTTATTATTTCGTGAATTATTGTCTTCGTCAGAAATACTATGGAATCGTCCCGCCATATTGTGGGTGACTGCGGATTTAGCGGAATAACTCTTGAAGGCATGATTCGACGTCCATGATTTTTGACAGGCAGATTACCGTTGTTGAGGCCAAAATCAAGTGCAAGTTCTGCTTTGTGGGGGGTCCGGACGTCACTGCAGTAAACCTTTAAATTCGTGTTTGTGGCTTGTGAGCAGAATAACTCATTAGTATATTTAAATAGATGTTCATGATTTTTGGTAGGCAAGCCACCATTGTAGAGGCCAAGGTCAAGTTCAAAAACCGGTTTCATGGGCGGTCCCTATGTTGCTGCAGTGGACCTTTTGTGTTAGATATCCAACGATCTTCCCCCACCAACCCCTGCGTTGATTCAGATGGGGGACAGCTGCTCCCCCCATCTGGGATCAATTCTACATATATCTGCATCATTAGCAATAGAATACATCAGAAAAAGATATCACATCAATGAGTACAACAGCTAAACATTCTAAAATCAGTATTACCAGAGAAGAATAACATCATAAAACCACTTTATATACAAAGATCAGGTCTTAGACAATAGCTTCAGTGCACGGGGTACAAAAGACTAGTACTGTTCGTGTCTTTTCGTTTTAGTAGATGTTGAGTCATAGTTGAGACAGTGACAGGTTTACCTCTGCGCAGGTTGTAATTACATTGTGTCGGAGTGGATACAAAATCCAGCAGAGGACTATCAGCATCCTTCACGATGTTCTGAATTCTATGCAAAGTGACCTGATCTCGCTTTATGGACAAAGAACTTGCCAGGCAACTGGGATGCCAATGATCCTACAGCATCTCTTTTGCACACTTTCAAGCATATCTGAGAGGCGTTTGGGCAGGCCTCCCCAAACCGGGCTAGCATACTCTAATACAGGACAAGGTAAATTTGCATAAAAATATCTGTTGACAGCCCTGCCTTCTTAGCAATACTCAGCAGTCATAAACCTGTAAAATGCCCCTCCCCTGAGGCAAAAAAGGTAATGCTTAACTGGACAAACAGCATGAAAACAGAGTTTGAGGGGAAATCTGTACCTTGCACAGTTTCAGGGTTGAATAAAATAGCCAGAATAAGTTTTTCTGCCAGCACTTAAATTTTCCACTTGATTTTTATGTACAAATATCCTACAACCAAGAAATGAACGTCATGAGGCTGAGGATTTTCAATTTCAACTAACCTTCTTCAGTCTTCAGTCTTCTTCAGTCTTTGAAGAATTTACATGTAGGACTGCCGCTGAGGGCCCAGATTTTTCAGTGGCCGAAGACAAGGACCGTAATGGTGCCTGCAAAAATATAACATTAAAAATGTGTATAAGGCCGTCAGTAGTTCACAGAATCATAAAGTACACGATTGGTGGTTTGTTTAAGATGGCTAAGAAAACCTCAGTAAGAAGGTGAAAAAGTTTGGGAGAAATTCAGAAACATTTCAGTAGTATTTTTAATCAGCATATAATAATTCTCCTGTAGCTAATAGTGTGTATAATGTGGTATTTGTTTCCTCCTTGTCATGTTGGCACAAGTATATTTGACACCGTGAAATCTCCTTTATGCTTTTAGGAGTATCATCAGAAGAAATGGAAATTTTAGAAAGTTCCTTAAAAAATAAAGTTTGAACTTCAAAGAATTGGTCAGAATGTGGCTGACTGTGTCAACAAAGTGCCTTCTGACATTTTCTCGTCACCATTTTCTTCATCATCATCATCATCATTTTCTTAGTAATACATAAACATTTGATCTGACAATCTTTTCAACGATTTTACTTGTTATGTCCCCAAAATACATCCTGATGAAGTAGGGACAGAGAGAAGAAGTTGATTGACTCACCTCAATATGGCAGGAAGTTGTCTTACAGGTCTGCCAACTCCTTAAAGTCCCCGAGTCTGTCTTAACTGTGTCTTTCTGTGTGTCCTTCAACTGAGTGAGGTGGTTGGACTACCTGAGGTTAAGTAAGGACGTTGAGTTGGACAGACACAGTGCCTATTGTGTCATACATGCCCACAGGTAGTTACAATGTAACCGTGTGAACATAATGAGTTGTTCGTGCTACACTCTAAACTATCAGGGATCAAAATACTTTTTCTACTGTGCTATTCAGCTAACATGTAATTTATAATAAATACATGAGTTTAAATTTGTCAGTTTGCAAAACTCCAACTAGTCTGTATTTTTTCATGTCTTGCCATCCTAAATTTTTCCTTAATAACTGCAGGTTTCAGGTGGGTGTTTTGAGCCCTGCACTCCAATGTCAGAAACCAAAGTTATTCTGGGAATAACCTTAAAGTTTGCTTACTGAGGGAACCTAGCCTCAAGTCTGGAAAAATTCACCATCCCAATAGGATCAATACATTGGTTATTTTCACTGGTTCAAAATGTCAAAACATTCCACTGGTTTTCGTCTGTGTAAAAAAAATATTTGCAGTGGTTTTATGTTTGCAGTGTTGTGCCACAATGTCATCACACCACCACAGACAACCCCCTTATATTAGGCCACACCAATTTAATTTGTTGGTTCTCAGATTTGCTGCTTCAAAAAATTGCAAAATCAACCAAAAAATTGATTATTCTACCCACATACTCCATGTAAATGTATGTCTTCTGGACACCCTGTACTGAATATTTGGGCACCCCAACATGTTGGTACCAGTCAAAATTTTGTCCATTTGTCAGAAAACCCATTACAACTCCCAAGATGCCGTTATCTTGGTAAATAAAGTGTTCGGCCATCTGTAGTTCAAAGAATCATATTTAACTAGTTTGTGGTTTATATCAGATAATATCTGAAAACACCTCAGTAAACAGGCCACAGTGTTTGGAAAATTAAGAAACATTTCAGTGGTGTATAAGATATCTGGGAACACCTCTGAGTCAGTAAGAAGGCTGAAAAGTTTGGGGGAAATTAAGAAACATTTCTGAATCAGTTAGGATTTCAGTATCTCATTATTCTCCTGTAGCTGATAGTGTGTATAATCCTCCTTGTTATGTTGACACAAGTATATCTAAAATTATGAAATCTCTTTCAGCTTGTATGAGTGTCAAGAAGAGGTACATGTAGACATCCTAGACAGAAAGTTCTTTGGATCTTTAACTTAGAAATAAAAGATAATTCTAGAAGGTGTTTGACTTTGTGTCAACCAATTAGCCACTGCCTTCAGACATTTTCCCTGTTTGACATTTCCTCGTCGCCATTTTGTTGTGACGCATGAACTAAACATTTTTGATCCGACAATCTTTCCAACGACTTTACTTGTTTAATGGCTCAAAAATACCCTGATCAAGCAGGGCGTAGAGGAGAAGTTGATTGACTCACCTCAGTATGGAAGAAAGTTGTCTTCAGTCTGCAAACTCCTTAAAGTCTCGGGGAGTCTGTCTTAACTGTGTCTTTCAGTCTGTCCTTCAACTGAGCGAGGTGGTTGGACTACCTGAGGTTAAGTAAGGACGTTGAGTTGGACAGACACAGTGCCTATTGTGTTATACATGTCCACAGGTGATACCTGTGGTAGTTAACTCTGCCAGCCATGTGAACATAATGAGTTGTTCCCGATACACTATAAACTGCTATATCAGGGCTCAACATACTTTTTTATACAGCTAACATTTAATTCATCATATTATTATTTATACCATTCTGATTTTTCTGGCAGCAAAGCTGCATCTAGTGTATATTTTTGTCTTGTAATCCTAATTTTTTCCTTAATAACTGCAGGTTTCAGGTGGGTATTTTGAGTCCTGCACTCTGATGTCAGAAACCAAAAGTATTCTTGGAATAACCTTAGGTTTGCTTTACTGAGAGAACCTAGCCTCATAATATAAGAGGGTTGTCTTGGACAGAAATCTTGTTATCTCTTCATAGTTATCTTTGTCAAGCAAGTAGAACACCCTTTTGCTTGATGTCTGGATTTTAGATATTATAAAACATAAGAGATTTGGTGCAAGTCTCTCACTTGTGATATCTGATAGCTGTATGTCTCTAAAGATAATATTTTGCTAAGGGCACACCACTTTAATTTCTTGGTTAACGGATTCGCCCGCTTCATTTTTTGTTCAAAATTCATTGTTTAAATTTTGAACCAGCCTAGTGTGTTGACTTCATGGCTCCTATTGTACCATTTTGGGCCATAATAGGATGCCTTAGCCTCTTTTTATTTCTAATTTTTTCCCGCCTGCTCCATTATTTTTCTAGAAAAATCCGTTAACCAAGAAATTTAAATTGGTGTGGTCCGAGAGTTGTTTTAGAATATTGTTATCGTATGGAACAAGCTTCCTCAGTATTGTTCCCAGTTCAAACGTGAATAGTCAAGACTGCATAAAACAAAACCTTCCAAAGGCTGTAATGAGCCAAAGGCTCTAATGAGCCTTGTTCTGAGTATTTAGATTATACATGTAACTTTTGTTTCTGCTCATTTGTTCACAGGTTAACGAGGGCCACTGGAAGTGGGGGGAGGAGCACACGGTGGAGATCAACAGCGCGTTCCTGACAGGCGTGTACGGGATGTGGAACGTCTACGTGTTCAGTGTGATCTGTCTGTACGCACCGAGCCACAAGAGGAAAGGTCTGGAGGGGCAGCAGTCCTCCAACATACAACTGGGTATGTGTGTCTGTGTGTGTGTCTGTGTGTGTGTGTGTGTGTGTGTGTGTGCGCGTGCATGTGTGTGTATGAGTGTGTGTGAGTGTGTGTGTGTGTGTGTGTGTGAGTATATGTATGTATATGTGTGTGTGTGTATGTATGTATAGATGTATGTGTGAATGAGTGTGTATGTGTGTGTGTGTGTGTGTGAGTGTGTGTGTGTGCCTGCCTCAGAGTTTGTCTGTGTCTGTGACTGTGTGTCCATTTGTGTGTGCCTGAGTTTGTGTGTGTGTGTGTGTGTGAGGAGTAAGGTGTATAAAGCATCAGCATTTTTTTGTGAATTAAAGGCTGTATGGGGAGGGGGTGACGTCTGCCATCTCTGATTGTCTCATGTTTACATCATTGAGAAATTGACTCTGATTTTATTCTGATTTCCAGAGCGTGAGACTTCGGAGGACGGGAGTAATGAGGAGATCGAGTTACGCCTGACAAACAGCCAGGCCAGCGGCGATGCTGGAGAGCTGTCCGTCATCTACAAGATCGCTGGCAAGGAGGCTCAAGAGTAGCCAATAGGAGGGGGCTAGAGATAGAGGTGGCCAATCAGGGGAGCCGGTCTGGGGAGACTAAATAAAGATTGGCCTGTCAGATTAAAAGCAGGCTGTTTGAAAAAGGAAATGAAATATTTAAAATGAAACATCCTAGGATCCTGATATTCAATACTAACAAGTCTGTAGGCATTTCTCCAAAATCATGTTGATACAAATTGTACAAAATACCATAAAAATCATTGTAGCTCTTGACCCATAACTGTTTTTATGCCATATGAAATGTTGCCATAGTTAAGATGGGAACTTTCCCAATTTAAAAACTAGTAATTAGAAGGAACTTGGTGCCAGTGGGACCATATGAGTAGGTTATATTACATTATAAGACTATTTTAGGTGGCCATATCGTACATTAAGATTTAATGTGTATATAGTTCATTTGTTGCAATGTGAGAAACTAGATTTCATTATACACACTTAAACTATTATGACCAGTTACCTTACACCCCTAAACCACTGCAGAATTTATTAGAAAGAGGTTAGAACACTTTGCATTGAGGGGAGGGCGGGGGGTTGGTGTGTTGGGGGAATAATACATGTAGTATAGAAAAGTTGGAAAATGAACTAATGTGTATTTTTGGATGAGGCTCTGGCTGTCACAGTTACTAAGATATCATGGAGAAATTAACTTCTCAATTTAGCAAGAGGTGTAACACTTGAGACAGATCAACCATTCTGATATCCATAAAAAACAGGTTATGTTGGACATTTTTTCATTCCATGTGTTTCCACCTTGCTGACAAAGATTTATTATTTATGCATACATGAACTAACCTAGTGTTGTATATGGCTGTAGTTTGTTTTTACTTTGTGGGACATATGTTTTGCTATTACATGTATATTAAAACTCATAAAGACTTAGTACACTTGTGGTCCAAGTCACTTTATTTTTAAAGTTACATATTTGTGTAAGATGGTAGACAAAAGACAATAATCTTACCCTAGACTTTCTCTGATCATGTTTGTGGAGCAGGTTAGAAAAAAATATTAAATGTCTGACGAAAGATATTTCATTTCTCTGAGTCTGTTCATTTTTGCTGTATGTGGGATGAATTTCAGGAAGCCTGAATGTGAAGAAGTGAAGTGTTGAGTATTTTAATTGATGTACATGAGGAATTAGTTTTTTATTTTGTAGAAATGGTGCGTTTTTTAGGATCAATGCTGTCGTAAACACTGAATTGGCAGAAATATTGACCGAAAAATCTCCGTATTCAGCCGCTCGTACCTGCCGTTCTAGGAACGTTTGTCTCAAAATGAACAGATATAAGAGTAGAACGGTTCTGTCCCAATAAATTCGTGATATTTCGGTAGTTTGTATGAATCTTAGCGCCAAGAACTAGAGCTGGAAAGACCAGAAATAAAACCCCCATAAGAGCCCATCGCGTTTCCCAAGTCGCGAATTGGCCAAATCTGGGAATGAGCGAGGCTTCGTTAGCGAGATACGGCCCTTTTCGGAACGGGTACCCGAAAACGGGGGTGTGATAGGGGATGAGTATCCGCTCTTTCAATTTTAGAAAAATGAAACTTTTGACATTTTTAGGTGCTCCTGCTTTAAGAGTTTATTTCTTCAGGTCTCTATTATATTCCTGCTTAAGGCCTTCGCCCAACTCCGCTTAATTCTTGAGTTATACGTAATAATGTGTTTTTGCGATCAGCTGATCGCTTGCAGAACTGGTCTAAGCCTTTGCAGAAGTGAACTTTTCGTTGTCGAAGACATTACCATATGAATGAAAACCAAGCAGACGTTAGGAGGGAAGATCGTAACTTTTGCTCACATGGATTATCACACGAAGGCCTAACGTTATATTTATAAACAGCGCTTCCCGTGTTAGATGTTCAGGGCATAGACGTGACAGGTCGTACAATAATGATAGAACCTCCGCTTTTGAAGTTGGTGTGTTCAAGGAGTTAGATGATGTGTTCAAGATTTAAAATATCAATTTTTAATTGGTATGATAGGGGAAGGGTTATACAAATTGAAGATTAAACATACAGAGATTGTCCTGCCTGAGCTGAAGAAATATGTTGGTTTTTATTTAATGCTGAAGATCACTTGAAGATACGGAGTATGAAGACAACACTACTAGCCAAATAAGGCGAATCGCTTATGAGCTCGAATTCCTCACCTGAAATCAACCGGTGGGCATAGGTAAGTGTGGGTGTATCATCATAATTTACGCAGAAAGCTTGGTCTGCTAACAAAAAACAGCAAAATACAGGAGAAATAAAGCGATGAATAAAGTAAAACATGGATGGATCACGGTTCATTAGTAGTTGGGTGGCTCCTGTTACTGAAATACTGATGTTGAACACCGTTTTCTTGCTTGGTTTGATAAACAAGGCTACAAGATCAGACCACAAACAAAAGTTAGTTGAGCTACTCCGGACCCCTTGGCATGACATCGTGTGGTCATGTTGCTCTATTGAACAACAGCCTCCCTCTTTTGGGAGTAGATGGCTAACCCAAGTGGGTTGCCATTTACGAGCCTTGGACGGCTGAGCTGAGCTGTCCTGTGGCTTAGGAGTCCACTACTTCTCTGTCTGGGAAGTTAGTGGCTCTAAAACTAGGGCCCTCCGCGGTGCCCTTAAGGCCGGTCTGGCCGTACCAGATCTGGCCGTACCAGACTGTGCCGCATGACGCCACGTAACACAACGTCGCATTATATTTATAACAAAAATCAAGAGAAATCTTCATTTATACGTTCATTTTACCCCACAATTTCCCTGATCCCTCTAGCCCTCCCCTCAATACCGTGTTTAATATTGTTTCGGCCTTTTATACCCCAAACCCCACCTACACCCCGGCAAATCTTTACACTACTTCCACAGCAGATATCTCTCGTTCGTGGGACTTAAGTTGGATAGATTATGTTCATATACACCTGTGCCACAGGTGAGTGTAATTAAAACGAATATATTAAATGTTGGGCTAGTACACAAACAAGACCACAGGGACAGATCATGGAAAAGTATTCTTTATTTCTTTGAAGTATGAGACATAGGCAGGAAGAGAAGACAATGGGTGATACTACAGAATATGAATTTCATTCTTACATTCATTCTAACCACTGCCACAAATTTGGCAAACATGAACAATAAAATACCCAAAAGAACAATATCAATCCTAAAATGAAGACTGCCCCCTTACATGTACATACATGGTGCTCACATGTTTGCCGCATGCAAGTCATGACTACATAGCAGGGTTTCGAAAGTAATACAAGAATTACAACAATATATATATATATATATACACTTAAGTGAAAGAGCCAGAATAAAGCTATATGCAGAATTTGTATGTAAGTGAGACTTCCTTTAGTTTGTTCATCAACACTTGTTATGAACGGTTGTTTCCTTGACTTAAGGAAACAAAAACAGCAAATAGTTTGCCCATATGGAAAAGCTGCGAACATTATAACAACTAATAGTCTAAGTCCTTTAACGTTACACCACTTCCACAGACCGCATCTTTCACTTGTGGGTCGGACACCAAAATGGCCATCTGGGTAAATTATGTTGATATGCATCTGTAACACAGGTGATCGTAATCAAGGCTTAAGTATTAACTGCTAAACTGTGGAATTTTACATCCCTTTTACAGTCTTTCTTATGACTGCACAATACTGTACTCATATTCAGGTTTCTATAAGAAACAATCACAGATATGTTCACAAAGTCTATTCACAAGAAATACCTGTATATGTACAACAGTAAAATGTCTGCGATTCCCTCGAACTTCTGCACCGGTCCCCCAGCAGCAGGAAGATGTCAGATCTGGCCATGGGTTCGCCTGGACAAGCTCGGCAACCGGCACTACAGAAACAGTAACAACAACAACAACAGTTGACCAACAGCAAACTCCGATATGATCAACCACAAACCTCTGTAACGTACTTGTTTCCCCTGGTGAAGTAGATAAACAATCCAAGCCAAAAAAAAAAAAATCCACAACAAACTTTGCAGAACCGCAGAACTTTCAATCTACCCACATAAACGGGACAACAAGATACACACCTACATACCTGGGCCTCTTCCCTTTCACAAAAAAGCAGCAGAATCGATTAATTCTATCAGAGACGTGCAAATACAGCTCACACCTCCGCGGACTCACCTGGCCTTAAAGAACTTTGTAACCTTTGACATAACCCAAAAGTGGCGCCTGATACACGTATATAATGTCGCGGTATTTCGCACGTACTGTGAAGCACAAGATAACTCTGTTTTAGCGTCATTATCCAACAACATAGATAACTGTACAACACTTATCTTTTTGCTTATAGTCCATATTAGCATAGTAGTAGTTTTTGCCTCCTGTTATATGGCCACGCTGCATTCTCTTCAGTGTATTATACTGTATATCTTCCATTTGTCTCCATCCATCGTTATAAACGGGCTGCACCTGACCGCGCCACGGTCTCAATTTAGCGCCGCCCAGTGGCGGTTGAAGGTACTGCACCCACTGGCCTACACCTCCCACCGTCACAATCGGACTGCATCTGACCGTGACACGGTCTCAATTTAGCGCCGCCCAGTGGCGGTTGAAGGTACTGCACCCACTGGCCTACACCTCCCACCGTCACAATCGGACTGCATCTGACCGTGACACGGTCTCAATTTAGCGCCGCCCAGTGGCGGCAACTGTCCACAACTAAACTTGTGGATAGTTTAGTTGCGCCGACGGCAGGACAGACTGCTATGGGACCGGTGAGGTGAGGAGTGGCGGTTGAAGGTACTGCACCCACTTTCATCCAGGCCGTGACTCTGACTTTAGCTAATAAAAGGCTTCTGCAAACTACGCATGAAGAAGGCAGGCGGCACCCTCTGAGCAGATGTTTCCTCGTCTGAGGCATCCCAGCGGCGTGCGAAAAACTGAAAAACCTTTCACAAATCGTAGCCTCCAACAGGCCTTTTTATGGGGATTTCAGATAGTAGAATGGCATAAATATGGTCCACGGGGCCAGAAGAGTGAGCCCGCCGTTTAGCGTCACATTTTCACGCAAATGAACTCTTCTGATGGGGTCTACAACTCCGCAAAACGAGCCGCAAGAACAGCTGCATGATTGTAATGGTGGAGAAAGGTAAGTAGCTGCAGTACCTTCAACTGCCACTGGGCGGCGCTAAATTGAGACCGTGTCATGGTCAGATGCAGCAGTTTTAGATGGAGGCCAGTGATTGCAGTACCTCAACTCGCCACTAGTCGGCGCTTTATGGACACCGTGTTCAACCGCCATAGGAACGTTACTCATACTGCACTCTGAATTTATCCCGTTAGGCGAAGCCTTAGGAAAAGTATTTTCTGAGTCAAAATATATCAATTTATCATCTTAATCAAAATTTGTACAGTAAGAGACATAGAATGGAATTGATTAGGACTAAATAAGGCCCTACACCACACACATTTCCTACCACCCCATATCTGCTTGGAGATTTGGTCTTACTGACAGTGTGTTACAATCTACCACCCCATATCTGCTTGGAGATTAAGCCTTACTGACAGTTGGGGTGTTACAATCTACCACCCCATATCTGCTTGGAGATTTGGTCTTACTGACAGTGTGTTACAATCTACCACCCCATATCTGCTTGGAGATTAGGCCTTACTGACAGTGTGTTACAATCTACCACCCCATATCTGCTTGGAGATTTGGTCTTACTGACAGTGTGTTACAATCTACCACCCCATATCTGCTTGGAGATTTGGTCTTACTGACAGTGTGTTACAATCTACCACCCCATATCTGCTTGGAGATGAGGCCTTACTGACAGTTGGGGTGTTACAATCTACCACCCCATATCTGCTTGGAAAGAGTTATCCATAGTTTAGAATCAAGTTTATGTTTTATTGAAGGCATTATATTTTAATTAGATATTAAACAGTGTGATGTGGCTTCTTAACTTAACTTAATAACAAAAACAACAATTTTACAGAATAAGCCTTGTATTGAAAAGTTACTAATTATTCAATACAGCAATACAATTTGTTTGACTACAAATACATAATCATACATTTTACTTCTTATTTGAACGTTTCATTCAAAATCCAGTAACATGGTGTCCTAGTTTCAGAAGAAGTGTCCTACAAAATCAGCAATGGCTACATTAATAGAATGGCAGACTATTACATGTACATGACACTGTTTTTTTTCAGAGCTGTGTATATAGATGTACGAAATCATTTTTTTACTGTCCATGACACTTTACACATCTCAATTACAACTACAGCACATGTACAGTGGTATGGACAATAGCAAATTAAACCTGTAAGTTGTTTTGTGGTATTGCTAACTGTACATAGAGATCTACTTGCTTGCTTCGTGAACATTTTTAAGCAGGAATAAACAATGAATAAAAAACTAGAACCACTGTGAGAAACCAAGCCATTGACTTTCCCCTCAGACTCTATTTGATCTTGATATATATTTATATCAGATCTTTTAGTTCAGGATTTTTTTGGCAAAACCCACGAACATACAAGTTAAATCTGTGCAATAAGATGAAGTACTAAAACTACAGCAACAGGATCACTGTGATGTTCACAGGTACAGGCTGGCTGCAAACACGATGTCTCTCTTGATCTTGGTGATGCCTGCAGAAATACAGCAAAACGAAATACTGTGATCAGAACACAAGAAAAATACCCTTCAACTACCTAAATTATTATGTACACTTGTTGAAGGAATGATTATTGTTGATACTTACAAAATGTACATGAAATGATTGAGTGAGATTGATTGATTGATTGATTGATTGATTGATTGATTGATTGATTCAGTGGGTGAGTGAGTGAGGGTGGGTGAGTGGATGAGAGAGTGTTAGTGTGTGAGTGAGTGATTGTGTGTGTGATTGAGTGAGTGAGTGAGTGAATATTTAAATGAATTAGAACAGAAGCATGACAAAATTGCAGTGATTTGGTGAAATATGAAGCATTACATTTTGGAGAAAAACTATCTCAGATTCTTTGTTCATTGTATCATCAAACATCTAATAAAGTATATACATGTAGCTTTGTGTCAAACATTTCCACAAACATGTCATTGACAAATGAGGCTGCAAACAAAGTTACAGTAATCTCCAAGCAGATCCTATTGCAAAAATAGAGTATACGATTGGCCAGAGAGGGACTATGAGCATTGGTGGGGTAGCGACAAAAAAACAGGCCATATATAAAAAGCTAATTAGAATATAAGGATCATTCCCCCACAACCTCTGCTTGGAGAGTAAGTTACAGAAAATAAATGTTATCCAGACAAGAAAAATGAACAAAAATGTACCGTCAGCAAACTTGTTCTCTAGCTCAGTGTTCCCGATGGCCTTGGCGGCGTGGCACATTTCCCTCATCAACTCCTCCAGCCTTCTCATGCACCGGATTATACTTCCTGGGAATAATAACAAAAGAACAGTCAATCGTGTATACACAATGCCACCTAGCAGGACATGATGGTACTGCAGTACAGTTAACAAGTGACACATTTCTCGCATCAACTCCTCCAGCCTTCTCATGCACCGGATTATACTTCCTGGGGATAATAACAGAGGAACAGTCAACCATGTATACATGATGCCACCTGGCAGGATATGATGGTACTGCAGTACAGTTAACAAGTGGCACATTTCTCGCATCAACTCCTCCAGCCTTCTCATGCACCGGATTATACTTCCTGGGGATAATAACAAAAGAACAGTCAGGTACACAATGCCACCTAGCAGAATCTGATGGTACTGCAGCATGGGTTAAAACATGTAACGCTATCAGGACTAGGTGTTTTCACTTCGATGAAGGTTAGACATCCAGGTAATAATACATGCCAAAAAACAGATACTCAAGCAACTGGAAATAACTTTGTAAACAGTCAGATGTTTCATGTAGCATCCACTACCTTTCGTCAGGGACACTGGAGAATTGTTAGGAAACACAGGTTTAAGTCTCGGTGTTTTCAGTTTACTTAGTATGAAAAGTACATGTATATTCAGACCCCAGAATGACTCAAATTAGGAAGTTACAGCAGTGAAACTTCAAGCAGCAAATGATTGACCTACAGAATAATCCTCACTCTAGTTTTTGTTGTGTCCGTGAGCTTTTGGCAAGTATAACCTCCTTAACAGGCCCTACCATTTTTTATCTTATAGCAATGTATCACTTCTATTTGTCCTCTTTTTTTTTATTATGCTGAACTAAGGAACCAAGTACAAATAAAAGTAATAAAATAGCTCCAGTTGTACAGACTTAAAGGAGGCTACAGTAAGCTCTGTGCCTGATTGTGACAGGACCCAGGGGCCAAAGGTGTAACATGTTACTTAATGATTAACTAAGTCATAATAAAAACAGGTGACGTAGGCATGAGATAATGGAAAGTCCCCAGTGGCGCAGTAAAATTCAGAGGTGAAACCCAGAACTTTCACCAGTACAGGGAGGAACAGACAAGTCTCTACCCAGGTAGGAGCAAAGGTGTGGATTCTCATATATCCAGGTGAGATTTAGACTTGCTTATCTTCATAAATTAAAGGCACAACAGTTTTTTTAAGCTTCCTCTAGATGCAAACCAATCAAAGTACAAGCTGTTACACTATATACCATATAGGTTTTTAATTGAATTAATGGGTCGAGTGCATGGAAGGAAACAATTTCTATTTTCAACAAAATTTTTATTTTCAAATGATTTCCATTGTAAAATGTCACTAGCAAATGTACTTTGTTTCCTTTATTAAGGAGTGCCGCCCAATCATTGGGATGCGAAGGGAAAATGTCAGACACTAACATAACCTCCCTGGTAGAAAAGCTACAGAACTTGGAGTTGTCCCTCACAAGTCAACATGGACAAGAACTCGGGTATGGACAAGCTCTGAGAGAAGCCATTCTTAAAAAGGATGACTTTATGGAAGTAGAAGTCCTGAAAAGTCTTGGAGACCTGCGTCTTGAGAAAGCCAAGCTCAGTAAAGATTCAGCAGAGTTTGACAAGGCTGCTGCCCTGTATTCTGCTGCCTTACGGCGCTGCAAAGATCCAGACGTGGGAGAAACAGTGGAACATCGTATCCGCTACATGAAGAAACTCTCCAGACAGCTGCTGCAGGGGTACAGTCCACACTTCCGGTGGCTGTCACCAGACTACTGGGGCCCTGCTGACAGTAATGCCTTAAGGGTGGCAGGGATTTGTGACAAACTGGACAGAAGTGTCAGAAATTCCTTTGAACAGACTTACACAGAAGCATTAGTGACTGCAATTGGGAACAGTGACATGTTCTTGGAGCTTGAGGTTCTAAAATCCCTCGGAGATTTCTACCTCGAGAAAGGCAAGACAACCTCTGATGTATCCCAGTTCTCCAAGGCAGCTGCCATGTACAACAAGGCCCTGACAACATGTGGAGATCCTGAGACAAAAGTGACTCTGGAACATCGTATTCAATACATGGAGAAGATCAGGGAAGCAGTGAAAAAGGTGAGAGCTTATAATTATCAGTAGCAGCCATGTAGAATTATTGCAAAAATTATAGTCAAAACATTAAGCTACTTTCCATACAGACATAATATATATATATTAGACAATATAAGTTATTACACTACTACAGAATACAATGTAGCAATTGACAGTGGCAGAAGCCAACATAGGACACTGTAGATACATGTACAATGCATTATATTGACAAATGTGACTTAAATCACACAGAAACCATCATCAAATAAACCAAGAGAAAGGGAACAACACATGTGGCACCATTCTGGGAACACTACTGTAACTGAGGACTATCAAGGCAGAACAGAGAGGTGGGTAATTCAAATACATGTACATGTCCTAGAAACTTAGATTTTAAGTCACTATGCAAAAAAAAACATTCATTCATAATATTATAGAGCATTAAAATGTTCATATTATGATAACATGTAATAAGTCTCCAAACACTAATAACTCAAGTCGCCTTTTTTTATTTTCAGAGAATACAACAACCACCTTAAGAAAGGAGACTCCTCCCTTGCCAGAACAGACCTGGACTCAGCAGAGCAGCACTTTGCAGCTGCACTCAAGACAGTACATGTGAGAGGTAAGGGGGAAACCTAGTATATGATAAACATGAAACTGTACTGCTGGCCTGTGGGGTCTGGGGTAAATCCTTTGTAAATTAGCAAGCCTCACTAGTTTGTGATACATGTAATACCGGTAGGTTTAACATTTTTTCAAGAAAACCTCAGATATGATATCCATAACAATGAAGTTGTTTCTCCCCAGACCCCACAGCCCAGCAGTACCAGAGAGAGGTGGAGCCCCTGTGCAAGTTGGGGGATGTCTACAGTAAGCAAGGTCAGCAGACAGGAGACGGGGGAGACTTTGTCAAAGCAGCAGCACTCTACAATGCAGCAATAGCCAGGTCAGAGGATCAAGTCCTCAATGGTAACTTAGCAACAGCTTTTAGAGAAGTAGAGAAGTTGTTTCTGAAATGTATCTTAGTTGTTGATTGTGTAGCTCAAGATAACACAGAAACACACAAGAAACAGCTGAAGGAGATGCGGGACCAGATCAAGCTGGAGATGAAAGCCATTGACCAGCAGCTGGATCCCTATGTACATGATGAGGACGACCCATGTGTCAGAGAGATAGAGGCAAAACGAGCTCAGGCTGTCAGGCAGCTGTTTGAGAAAATTGCACAACAAAGGAAGGAGTTCATCAGCCTGCTTGTAGAAGAGTGTATTGGGTTAATGGGTCCCCCTCCCTGTAAGTATGCCCTGATGGGTTTGGGTTCACAGGCCACAGGACTGGTAACTCCATACTCAGACCTGGAGTTTGCCATCTTGGTAGAAGAGGAAAGTGAAGAATGTCTTGTGTATTTCCGTAACCTCACCCACTACCTACACCTCAAGGTGGTCAACCTGGGAGAAACCATTCTCCCAGCACTGGGAATAAAATCTCTCAATGACTTCTACTCTAAAAATCCACTTGACAACTGGTACTATGACTCTGTTACACCACGTGGGTTTGCATTTGATGGTTCCATGCCAAAGGCAAGCAAGACTCCACTGGGCAGGCACGGAACTAAGAATGAACCACCCAGTGAACTCATCTGCACCCCACAAAACATGGTTTCCAAGCTACAAAAGGATGTCACAGTATACCTAAAGAAAGGATATCACCTTTCCACTATCTTGAGAAACCCATGCCTGATAACAGGGGACCAGGATTTGATTGACAAATACATGACCAACACAGTGGAGATACTGCAAGCTGATGGGGGTAAAATGGCTCAACAACTGGCACAAGAGATAAGGACAGAAAATACAGAAAGGATCAGCAATGAGGAAACAATTACAGCAAGGCTGATTGATGTAAAGAAAGAAATCTATCGCTTCCCAGCTGTAGCAGTGGACTGCTTGGCACTGTCTTCAGGCATCATACCTACCAGAGTTTGGGACACAATAGAAGAAATGGAAAACCAACAAGTGATCAGTCCCAACAATGCACACCACCTGACAGTGGTTACCAGCATCTCAGCAGAACTCAGGCTCAGAACGTACATCGCAAATGGTGGACAGAAGGAAAACCTGTCAGCTTTGGCCTCAATGGAAACAGGACAGCATGGACAGGAATCATTCCTACAAACCAGCAATGACATGCACACAGGTGCAGTGATACCAGTTTTCCACCTACCAAATGACCAACAGCTTTTCAGGTACTATCATACAGCAGTTCCTCTGAAAAGTGTTCTGCAGGAATGGTCTGAAAAGGAGCCTGTTCTTGATTCATTCCCTGGCCAAGATTTATACGACAATTCCCCAGGGGTACAAGGAATGATGTACTATGAGTTATGCAAATTTGAGAAGGCTATCAGCTGCTATCATGAGGCCCTGACGAAAGTGGTCGGGAATGACAGTGACAAATGGAAGCTGTTAAGTAACATTGGAAATGCTTATCACAGGGTAGGAGATTACAGTAATGAAATCAGTTACCATGAACAGGCACTGCAGATATGCAGGAGTATCTATGGTCAGAATAAAGCACATCCTGACACTGCCACCTCACTCAACAACCTGAGTGGACTCTGGCACCACTTGGGTGATTACAGGAAAGCAATCAGGTACAATGAACAGGCACTGCAAATGCGCAGGAGTATCTATGGTCAGAGTACAGAACATCCTGACATTGCCATGTCACTCAACAACCTGGGGTCAGCCTGGGGGCATCTAGGTGATTACAGCAAGGCAATCAGCTACCATGAACAGGCACTGCAGATGAAAAGGAGTGTCTATTGTCAGAGTACAGCACATCATGACATTGCCACCTCACTCATCAGCCTGGGGTCATGCTGTCACAACCTGGGTGATCACAGGTCAGCAATCAGCTACCATGAACAGGCACTAAAGATGTACAGAAGTATCTATGGTCAGGGTACAGCACATCCTCTCATTGCCACCTCACTCAACAGATTGGGGTCAGCCTGGAATGAACTGTGTGACTACAGGAAAGCAATCAGCTACCATGAACAGGCACTGCAGATCCACAGGGTTATCTACGGTCTAGGTACAGCACATCCTGACATAGCCGACTCACTCAACAACCTGGGAGGAGCCTGGCGTAAAATGAATGATCACAGGAAAGCAGTCAGCTACTATGAACAGGCACTGCAGATGCATAGAAGTATCTATGGTCAGGGTACAGCACATCCTGACATTGCCACCTCACTCAACAGCCGGGGAAGAATCTGGCAACAACTGGGTGATCACAGGGAAGCAATCAGCTACCATGAACAGGCACTGCAGATGCAAAAGAGTATCTATGGTCAGGGCACAGAACATCCTGACATTGCTGGCTCACTCATCAACCTGGGGTCAGCCTGGGGTAACCTAGGTGATTACCCAAAATCAATCAGTTACTATGAACAGGCACTGCAGATGCAAAGGAGTATATATGGTCAGAGTACACCACATCCTGACATTGCCACCTCACTCAACAACCTGGGGTTAGCCTGTGGTGAACTGGGTGATTACAAGAGAGCAGTCAGTTACCACGAACAGGCACTGCAGATGTACAGGATTATCTATGGTCAGACTAAAGCACATCTTTACATTGCCACCTCACTCAACAACCTAGGGTCAGACTGGTACCAACAAGGTGATTACAAGAAAGCAATCAGCTACTATGAACAGGCCCTGCAAATGCACAGGAATATACATGGTCAGAGTAAAGCACATCTTCACATTGCCTACTCACTCAACAACCTGGGGTCAGCCTGGAAAGAGCTAGGTGATTATAGGAAATCAATTTACTATCATGAACAGGCATTACAGATGTGCAGGAGTATCTATGGTCAGACTAAAGCACATCTTGACATTGCCACCTCATTCAACAACCTGGGGAGAGCCTGGCACGACCTGGGTGATTACAGGAAAGCAATCAGCTACTATGAACGAGCACTGCAGATGCTCAAAAGCATCTATGGTCAGGGTATATCACATCCTCACATTGCCACCTCACTCAACAACCTAGGGACAGCTTGGAGTTACCTGGGTGATTACAGGAAAGCAATTAGCTACTATGAACAGGCACTACAGATGGACAGAAGTATCTACGGTCAGAGTACAGCACATCCTCTCATTGCCTCCACACTCAACAACCTGGGAGAAGCCTGGCGTAATCTGGGTGATTACAGAAAAGCTATGAGCTACTATGAACAGGCACTACAGATGCAAAGGAGTATCTACAGTCCAAGTACAGAACATCCTGACATTGTTGCCACACTCAACAACCTGGGGTTAGTCTGTAGTGAACTTGACGATTTCAGAAAAGCAATCAACTACCATGAACAGGCACTGCAGATGAACAGGAGTATCTATGGTCCGAGTACACCACATCCTCAATGTGCTACTATTCTCAACAACCTGGGAGGAGCCTGGTACCACCTGGGTGAGTACAGGAAAGCTATTGGCTACCAAGAACAGGCATTGCAAATGCGCAGGACTATCTATGGTCAGAATGCAGTACATCCTAACATTGCTTTGTCACTCGACAGCCTGGGGTCAGCCTGGTGTGAACTGGGTGATCACAGAAAAGCAATCAGCTACCATGAACAGGCACTGCAGATGCGCAGGAGTATGTACAGTCCATGTAAAGCACATCCTGACATAGCCGTGTCACTCATGAACCTGGGGGGAGCCTGGTACAAACTCGGTGATCACAAGAGAGGACTCAGGCACTTCCAACAAGCCTTGTGTATGGCAAAGCAGGTTTTTCATCAGGACAGAAATCATCCATTGATAAAAAAATTGAACATTGCCTGAATGACCAGTAACTCACCATAAACCATATTTTGCTTTTCTCTCAACCATTATGAGAAGCATTACACTACCATTAGACAGTGTCACTGTAACTAAACCAAAGCATGCAAGAAAACACTGAAACAGTTTACATGACCTGAAGTATGAGGACTGAAGCTATCATGTGTTTTACAGGACATTAATATTTGAAACATATACAACATATAAGAGACTCCAGAGACTACAAATTACAATGTACCTGATCAGTTGTAGCAAGCAACAAGACTGTGTACATCTTTAAGTTAGTTTCTTTGTCATATAATTGTAAATTCTGCCAACAAGCCTGATTTGTCAAGGTTTTATTCAAGTCTTACTTAAGAGTAATGAGTATGTCTTCAATATGTTGCTATGAAACTTGCTTCAAAAGTTATGTCTTGTTTAATAAGAAGTCCCAAGACACCTGACACTGAATTGCTTCTTTCAGGTATGTCAGACATTCTTTGAAACTTTGAAACTTTGAAACTTTATTCACACACCTTCTTGCAGACAATAAGTCTGAATTGACAGGTATTTACAATGAAATAGATTAAAAACGCTAAGGAGTTAAAATACATGTAGACAATCAAATTCAGTTTAAAATCAATAAATATGATAAAACTTGTATAGTCTATTATATATAATACAATTCATGAGGTCACGTCGGTATTTACAGATTGTCAGTTGAAGTGTTTGTTCAGCAAGTTTGTCATGTAAGGTATCGCAGAGTTTTTGTGGCGAGCTGTTCTACAGATGGGAATGTCCAGTTTGTTCGCACTACGTGTGTTTCTGCCGGATATCTGTTTACGGGATGGGGGTAACCAGTCACTGAATTCAGAGTTGAGGAGTTTCTTGGCGAAGGTGAGGCATAGGTGAGTACGTCGTTCTGCCAAGGAGTCAAGGTTCAGTGTAGACAGTGCTGAGGTGTAGTCTGTGTACTCTGTGCCCAGGATGATTCTGCATGCTCGTTTCTGTTGTCGTTCTAGTCTTGCAGACTGTGTACAGGTCAGGGCCGGGTGCCACACCGGTGCCGCGTATTCCATAGTGGGTCTGACGTAGACGATGTAGACGGTTGTGAGGTCTTGTGTAGTAACTCCAAACCTCTTCAGTCGGCGTAACAGGAACAGTTTTCTGTTTGAGGCGCTGATCATGTAATCTACTTGTATGTCCCATTTGAGGTCACTCTGTATGTGACCTCAAATGTGAACTCTGTATATTCTGGTTATGTTGCTGCCCTTGCTCTAAAAAGATATCAGTATGTCAGATTCTGTATTGTTAACATAAGGATAGCCTTATGATTGTACAATAACACATGCAAGGAAGTAACCATAATTCCCTTAATCTTTGCAGTAGCAAAAGGTCGCGGTCTGAGAAAAATGTTCAAGCTTGGGAACTATTTGTTCATGGTGGTGTCAGGTGATGAAAGAAGAAAGAAATTCTGTGAAAAAAAATTATTTGTTAACAGTAATAAGTTTGCAGAACAACCTGAAGTGACTGCAAAATCGGAAAAAATCATGAACTCAGAACTCCTCAACCCAGCTCCACCAAGAAGAAAAGGTTCTAACCTTCAAAGATGTCAGTCATCTTGCAGATCTGAGCGAAGGTCGCACCCTTGCTCCAGGCGTGACAGACATCCATCATGTGGGGGCGGAACGACTCCACGTACTCCTCCTCCTCTATAGACATCTTAGCCTCCGCAGACACCTTAGCAATCCTCCGCGCTGACTCCTAAAGTGGGGGTAGATTCGTCATCAATACCCATATCAAATTAAACAAATAACTTATAACTTTTCCTCCTCCTCAAGTGACATCTTAGCCTCCGCAGACACCTTAGCTATCCTCCTCGCTGACTCCTAAAGTGGGGGAGGATGTAAAATTAACTTTTCCTCCTCCTCAATTGAAATATTGGCCTCCCCTAAGCAGTCTACCTTTAAGTTAGCAATCCTTCTCACTGACTCCTAGAGAGAGGGTGGATATAAAATTAACTTTAACAAAAATGAGATTTGCAAAGAAACACTGTGTGACAGAGACCTAAGACTCCTGGCAGGGAAGAAGACACTGTGGAATGACACAAAGAAATACTGACTGAAAACATCATCATCATCATCATTCATTGGCCTGTCTCAGCTTGGGCTACGCTACATAATTAGTAAATAGTTTACTCCACATAGCCCTATACAAGACAAATCATCATAATGAACAAATAAACAAATAAACAAACAAACAAACCTGCATCTGTCTGAGGGGCCCGGCCAGCTCTTCTGTCAGTCTGGGCATCTCTGAAGCCTGGAGTAAAACACAGCCTCGTCAATATGCATAATTTTACAATGAACTTAGGGGACAAAATAATCATCGGAGAATCCCTTTCCCATCTATTGCAAAGGAAAAAAGTCCCATTGTAAAATTCAAAGCACAAAAACTTAAGAGAACAAGCGAAATAGGAAAAAGAACCTCCCTCCTCCCCCCAAAAGGAGAAAAAATTGTGTGAAGAAAACTTTAGTATAATTTTACAACACAGATACAGTCAAACCTGCCTATAGTGGTCACTCAAGGGACTGGCCAAATTTGACCACTATGGCCAGGTGACCACTATAGAGAAACAGCCGGTTAGTTGACCCCCCCCCCCCCAAAAAAACGGGACCACATGCTTTGAGTACCAACAGTGATGTCTTTATTCTGAAACATATGAATACATACATTTGCAAAGGTAAACCCCTTTTATATGTACATGTCTTAGTTCAATAATTTGTTGTTCTTTTGCTTTAGTTGTACTTTATTTTGTACTTGCTTGAAAAAAAAAGAAATACAGAAATATTGCATGGAAACATTAACTTGACATCAAAGATACATACACTCAACATATTCAGTTCATCTATTCTGGGACAATGAAACCATTCACATTAAAACATACAAAATCATTGGTTGTCATTTACAGTACTGTTCTTGTGTACATACTAGTACTACATGTGGCTAATGAAAAGAAAGCAAATCAAGCAACAAACTTTCAACTCCAAACAAATTTCTATTGACTGCAAACTCATTTCTAAGCTCAGGTTTCGACGATTTCTTCAAGCTCACTCTCTCTGCCAGTCCGATCACTTCCACCTTTTGGAATAAGTTCGGCGTGCGTCTTTCCGCTTTCGCCATCGTTTCTCCGCAATCGCCACGTTACTAGTAGTTGTCGTTGTTGTTAGTCGAAAAGTGGAAGAGAACGACATCGCCATGTTTTTGTTCTTTGGTGAACACTTGCTTCGCGCGATCGACATACGCCACAGCGAATTCCAACCACGTAAATAAGTTATTTTGTACCAAGATGCTGTCTATTTAGTTGACAGCAAAATAATTGTTCGTCAGTTGCCAGTTACTTTCCGTTTTTGGTCGTTTTTGAACATGAAAACTTAGCGAAAACTCTCCTTTGTTTACGGCTTGGGTTTCTCCCCGCGTGGGTTGTCTGCCTCTACCATTATGCCAATGTGGTAGTCAACAGAAAATTTTCTCCTTTCAGACTTATATCTTTCTAAAATATCCACTACAGTGTTAAATTTACATCTAAAATTACTTGTAGTAATGTATTTCAAATGTTTTCATAATGTAATTACGTCATTTGACGCTAATGAAGTTAAATAAAACTCGGTGTATCTACCTCCATAACAGTGGAGTCTCCGATGACCCCGATTGACCTCCCTCTGCAGCTAACATGCGCCATCTTGGAAAAATTAAAAACGCATTTTCGAGCCAAATTTCTTGAATTATGCCCATGAAAAACGGAAGCTATGCACATATCTACGCATTTCAAGGAATCGAGAAACCAAATATGGATAGTCTTAAGTTTTTTTGTAAAGATAATTGCCGTAATCTTCGCCGAGCGGCCGAGTCCATTGAAAGCTCCATGCGGCACGCACGGCACTGGTGTTGGGGAAAACGCAGATATCACACCCGCGACCGCAGAAACTTCGTGTCAAAAGCCAGTTTTCCTTTATTTCATACACATATGGAGTTTAATTTTCAGTTCACATTTTAGTAATGTAGCGATCGGAAAATTATCACAAGAATCATAACGGTCGTAGCCCGAGGTGGGGTGGTGTTACGGCCGTGGTGCTTAGCGGGTTACGGCCAGCCGCGACCGCAATCGGCGGTGTTTACATGCCGGCGGGACCGGAATGGGGTGACCGCTGACCGCGTTGAACAGTGACCGCTATAGACACGATTCTTAATGCTTACGTCAATGGGAAAAATTCAAGGGACCGGCAAAAACTGACCGCTATGGCCGAGTGACCACTATACAAAGGTGACCGCTAGTACAGGTTTGACTGTACTGTCATCATTATAATTCCTGACTCCTACCTCCCACAATTCATCATCTTGAGTCCTTTTTTTCTTAAAAGAACCAAATTTGTTGGAGTGACTTAAAGAAATCCTACTGTAGCTTTTTTAGTATCAGGCCTGACATTGTAAGACCCACCTTTTCTTGGAAGACGAAGACACTAAGAAGTGCCACACACTGGTGAGCATCAAGGTCATTGAAGACTCCGTTGAAGATCATCTCAGTAAGGAGCAGCTCATCGGCACTGGGGAGGAAAAATCAACTTTTTGTCATACAGGGGAATACAGGTATCATTATTGTGGAGAACCAGCACTAAGGTGAGGTACATTGTAGTTCATTCACAATTCTATGTCATTTCAACAAAACATCATGTGGTAACATTGCAAGGCATACAAAA